GGGAGCGCAGCGGCCGGGGCGAGAGAGCCGAGAGCCGCCGGCTCGCCGCCTGCACTAGTGCCGGAGCGTGTGCGAGGGGGAGCGAGGGAGACACACGCACTCACACACCCGCACACGGGAGCGCCGTGAGGGAGGGAGGAGAGGGGAGGGGAGGACAGCGGCTCACCGCCGCCCACGTTTACACGCCTGGGTGCCCAGAGTCGGGGGGGACTCCTTTTTTGCTTCTCGGCCCCCCCTTCCCCCCGCAGCACTTGAAGCTTCGCGTCACGAAAGCCCGCACACCAGTTAATCAACACCGCGAACCAGGCGGGCAAAGAGGAGACTCGGAGCAGGACGGGAATGTGCTCTCCGAAGCCGGAACGCAGCAGGGCCAGACCTCCCCTGCCATTGCCCCTCGCGGCGGGTCCCACCCTACTGGAGCCCCGGGCTGCACGCTGTCTAAACGGGAGTTGGGGCTTCTGCAAGCCTTTGCCTCTCCCTAGTGGTGATACTTGCAGCCAAGACGAGAGGTCAAACCCATTGCTACAGGTTCCCAAACTGAGGCCTGGGACCCAGTGGCTTGTCTGAGGCTGCTAGTTGATCACTGAGCTGAACCTATGCTCTCTTCCCCTGGGCACTCCCCTCCTCATCTCGCCCCCAACACGTACAAAAGCAGGATGGCAACTCCTATTCCCTCTTTTCCGGACTTTTTTTCAGAGCTTTGAGGCCGAGTTACAGAAGCTGTCTGGGACTCAGTTTTGGAACCGCTGAATCCCTATGCTGTTATCCCAACGTTGTGGGTTATGGAGACAAGGGGGGATGGAGGTGCAGAGGCATTTCTGGGGAATTGTAAGGCTGGGCCTGTGGAAATGAGGCCTGAGTCTAACTTTCAAAGCTGTGAGGCTACCCCAAGAGGGAGTCATTATCCTTGGAGTGTCCTTTTAGGAGGTGGCAGGAACTGAGAACAAAAAGCAGTAGCCAAGGTCAAAATTCTGCCTATTTGCTCAGCGAACTTTGGTTGAAGGCAGGGGACAGGCTGTCAGAGAGAGTTTTCCTTGAGACTATCTGTTCAGTCCCACTCATGTGTGACCCAAACCAGGGATTCCATTCCAGAAGGCAGAGTCTTCTTCTTCGGGGAACCGTGGAATGAATAAAATGGATACAAGAGGGAGATCCTGATCCTGTGTGGGGAGAGGGGTAGTGCACAAACTCTCCTGGCAGCTCCCTACTGCTGCCGTCTCAACTACCTCCTACCTCCTCTGCATTTTCTCTTGTTCCCTTAACTTCATCTTAGCTGACACCTCTTCTTTAAAAATTCTGTTTAACAAATATTTATTTAGTGGTTACTGTCCTCCAGGCAGAATGAATAAGACCATCCTTTTCCTCAAGGTGGGGGACCGTGTAGACCATTGAGGAGACAGATAAGCAAATTATTTCCATGTGACCTGGTTATGTCCCAAGACAAAAGTAAGCACAGAGTACTCGGAAAGCAGAAGAAATGCATCTAGCTTAGCCTCAGAGGGGAGAAGTGGGGCTCAAAGCCAGCTTTCTCAGTGAGGTAATGAGCAGAATCTTGAAGAATTATTAAGCATCAATAGAGGCCAGGAGTGGTGGCTCACATCTGTAATCTCAGCACATTGGGAGGCCAAGGTAGAAGGATTGCTTGAGCTCAGGAGCTCAAGACCAGACTGGGTAACATAACAAGACCTCATCTCTACAAGAAATCAAAAAATTAGCCCAGTGTGGTGGTGCATGCCTATAGTTCCAGCTACTCAGGTGGCTGAGGTAGGAGGATCACTTGAGCCCAGGAGCTCAGCATTGAGGTGAGCCATGATCACTCTACTGCACTCCAACCTGGGTGGCAAAGTGAGACTGCCAACAACAACAATAACAGCAAAAGAGTCAAGAGAGTCAACATTAAGAGAAGGATGCTCCCAGCAGAGAGAACATCTTTAGCAAAACCAGGAAGACAGGAAGTGGTGAGGGTGTGTGAGCAGGGGTACAAACAGTTTAGCTTAAACCTGAGGTAATCTTCCAAATAAAGTTAGCATAAGGGCATTGTATCCCTCCCTTCCCCCTTCAAAGAACTTGAAATTATTCTACAGTTGACAGGGAATTATTGGTGGATTTAAGTCAGGGAAAGACACTTGACAGATGTACATATTTGCTGGATCTCTAAGTCCAACGAAGTAGGGAACACAGGACAAAGCAGAAAAAGCAGTTAAAAGCTTTCTCGACAACCCAGGTAAAAAATGAAGGTCTGAAGTAGATGACTGGATGTTGGGACCTATGGTGGAGATAAGCATGGTAGAAAGAATGGACTCAGGATAGATTTAGCAGTGATCATATTGTATGTAGTTCCTTTGGGAGATCTAAATGCAGTCCAGCCCAAGAACTGCATGCTCAGGAGAGCAGGTAAGACAGGCATATACATTTGAGAATCATAAGAAAATGTCTGGAGACAACAGCTCTATATATTTACCTTCATACGATATGTAATTTTTAAACCATTTCTTTCCTTTTCTCTTCCCTGAACTTCCCCCCTCCCTTCATTATTCCAGAATTTGATTTTTCATATCTGAGAGCTGTCTAAGGATAGGTAGAAGATATGTGTCCTTCCCACATAGTATTTTGGTAAAATTTTATCAGTGGCACTGAGTAAAGGAAATTGATTTGGTTTCTCAGACCACCACCACCCACAAATGTGCCCTGAATCCCTGTGCTCATAAATGAAATCAACAGACTCACAGAAAATAATAGTATCTCAGGGTTGTATAAGATCTTAGGGGTCATTTAGTCCAATCATTGCTGTATACACTATGTTTCCTATTGACATTTCCAGTTGTCCTGGTTTGCCTTTTGTAGTAAACCAGGTTGCATGCCTATGACCATGCATTTCTCCATTTTCTCCCTCTAGTTTCAATGCCCAAACTGTTCCAAGTATTGAAGTGTCCTTCCTTCATGGATTTGACTTAATAAAAAGTACCAGAGAAGAATAATCTTCTCCAGCATCTATACTAACTTCAGACATCCCTAACATTCAGGGAGAGTGACCCAGTTCCTGACTCTAGAAAGTAAATCCCAATCAGGCTGAGCCAAACATAATAATCCCATTTCTCTTGACAGTAATTGGTTAGGAATGGACATGTGATTCAGTACTAACCAATACTGTACTAAGTGAAAGAAGTCTGTTGGGGAGTATTGGAGAAAATTTCCTTGGTCTTAAAAATAACAATGATCCTTTTTTTGTTGTTGTTTTTTGAGTGTTGTTTTTCAGGGTCTTATAACCTTGGGGGAGGGCACACTAGCTGTGAGTAGAAGTTGATATTCAACCTGACAGTTATTAGCACTACTCACTAAATATCTCTGCCTTTCAGGCATATAATAAAATTGTAATTCCTGGCCCACTTGTCAGTGGGAGGGAAAAATGACTAGTATGTGACAGTGAGTTTGGGGCAGACATGATATGTGTTATTTCTGAACCAGAGCATCTAATTGCTGCAACTATGTTCTACATGGGAATGGTTTTGTCATTGTGAGTCCTTAGGTGATGCAGTTAGGAGTACCTGATAGCTAATAAAAATAGTGTGCCACTGTGACATGTATCGTTAGACTCTATTTATATGCATACCTTTATTTTTGAAAGCCATTGGAATCACAGTCTGTTATTGAAGCATACTAGTCCATCCTGACTGATACACTGAGGATGGCAGATGGAAAGATGGAAGAAGTATTATTGAGCCACTCATGGAACTATGCTCAAGACCTTCCCAACTCTGGTCTTCCAGTAATGTAGGATAATTAAATTTCTTTCTGTTGAAGTCTGTCGGATCCAAATTTTTTCCTACATGTAGCCAGTGACATCCTAATGGATGCATCATGTATTGTGTGTTTCAGTTCTGACCTTCTCTAGGGTTTCTACCAAACTAGGCATCTTTGTACTAATCATATTATTTCTATGGAGTTCAGTTGTCTCCTCTGTAAATAAAGAGCTAAGTAATGGGGTGTTCTAAGAAACTATCTCTATTTTCTCTTCCCACTATGCGTCTTTACTGTGCCCTCCAAGTATGAACTTGGCCCATAGCCTGGCGTGATCTGGTCCCCTGCTATCCTTCCAAGCTCATCTCCTGCCACTTTCTCCTTGCTTGCTTCCCCCTACCCTAGCCACACTGGTGTCCTTTTGTTCCTCCAAGCCTTTGTATTTGCTGTGCTCTTGCCCAGAACCCTTTCCTCAAATGTATGCAGAGTTTTTCCCCACACTTTCTTTCCTAGCTTCCTGCTTAAGCTTTGCTAATGAAAATAGCACAACCATCATATCACTGCCCAGCATTCATCTTCTATCATGCTCTACCTTCACCTTGTCATGATACATTTCTCAACATGATGGTTTTTAGCACTGCCCACATTTATCACTAACTGATATACATTTATTTAACTATTTTTAAAAATTCTATTCTTACCTTCCACTAGCATGCCTACTCTTTCTTGTACTTTGTTGTCTGTTGTGTTGACTGCTGTATTCTGAATGCCTAGCAAAGTGCTGGGCACACAGTAGGCTGTGGTAGACCCAGAGGGACTCATTTCAGCTGTCAGCTTCCCTGAGACCTGCCTCAGCTGCAGAAAGTCACCTCTTCTGGAAACTTAACCTTCTTTCCTCAAGGGGCCCATATCCAGTGACTAATCAAACTAAGAGTATCAAGGCTCAGCCACTTCAGCACAGTGCAAGAATAGTGGGCAGTATTTTCTCTAAAGTTCCAGAGCTCCCTGGGCTCGAGGCTTTTTTGGGCCTGTATTGTATTTGCCCAATCTTGCTTTTCCCCCATTTCCACTGGTGTTGATTCATAAAAAATAGTCTGCATGCCAGATGTGAGCTCAGTACCTGCCTGAGAAATCTGAGCCTGCACCATAGGCATTTGGTAAATATATGTTGAATGAATAAGTGAATGAATAAATGAATGAGTCTATGAGCCTCAAATTCCTTCCATGGTCTCCCTATAAGTAATTACATGGCCTTGACTTTATTATATAGCTAGTGACAAGTTAGGAACTAACTACTAAGGCCACCAACTCCAATGTTAAATAGTTCTGATAGTTAGAAAATTAGAGAACATTAGCTTTTGTTAATGTTGCTGATAGGCAAATCAATTTAGTGACTCATACTGAGCTTATAGTTGACTGGAGTGTTTTTCACATTAGGATGACTTTTTGCATCCATGTGAAATGCTTCGTACATATTTTCGTTTATTTTACAAATTTGAGCCTATTATTCCAGCCTTTTAAGCATTTTAAGAACTTGTCAGTCCCTATACTGTTTCTCTCAATGTGGCAGACATTTGTTTCTTGCCTCCGAATATTTTTTTCCTTTCCTCCAGCCATAGTCCTTAATCTTTATTCAGAGATTTACCTTCCAACACTCTCATTCCATGGGGTTTCATATGACCCAGAAGCCAAACAATCCATCATAACTCCCCTAGCCTGGAGATTCAGACAGAGTAAACTATCCAGGCAGAGGAATCCCAGGACTTGTGTACGCAGGTATGAGAAGGATAGTTACTGGCTCCCCTGGAAAGAGGTAAGTATGGCACCATGTCAGCTGTCTTACCCTGTAGAGAGAAAACTCAAGGTTATTGGAATCCCACAAGGAGGCCCAAGCAAGGAGCCAGAATGACACCAGGCTGACTCAAGAGAAGAAAAATTTCCCATTAGCACCTTGGGAACCTTGAATCTAGCTTCATCTGAAGTCTACTTGCACCTGCTCTTCTATGCCACCTGAACCAATATATCTATACTTATTTAAACTCCTACAAACTGGGGCTTTTGTCTGCAGGAAAAAAGGTCCTAACTGATGCAATCAACCTCACAGTTGATCAATGTGACCAGCGTTTAAGCTAGAAAAAGTGATTTTACCCTCCTCTGAATGACCCTGCCTGTCCTCTGCTCTGTTTCATAGCAAGTGGCTGGACACTGGGAATGAAATGATCAGGACAGGTCAACATATGAGAGAGATGACAGGTGGCCATTCATAGCTGATGACATCAAAGTGTCTCTAAACATAGGATTTAAGCTGAGCACCTCTAATTCAATGAAAACAGCTAGAAGTTGCAGATTCAGGTGTGTCCATTCTTGGCATGAAAACTTACACCAGGATGTGACAAGGTCAGGAAGGAAATAACTAGCTATT